GAAGCCCAGAGCTGCGGCTTTGAACTTCTACCCGGGAGCAGAGCCGTGGACCTGAACTATGCAGATGACATCGCAGGTTGTTCAAAACATTCTGAACCACTTAGCGAATGGGGCATTTAACTACGGTCTGTATTTTGCTCCATCCAAGTTTAAAGCTTTGCTCCAGGATTGGTAAGCTCCTGTGCCTACGCTCACCATTTCGGGTGTCAGCCTGGAGCTCGTTAACAGCTTTACTTACCTCGGGAGTTTCATTACGGCTGGTGGCGGTATTGGCGATGAAATTTCACAATAAATTGCCAAAGCTCGCCTTGCATGTACTAACCTGAGACACTTGTGGCGTCGTCGCGATGTCAGTCTCAAGCTCAAAGGCCGAGTGTACAATGCCACAGTCCGTGCTGTCCTACTGTACGGTTGCGAGACCTGGCCTGTTCGATCGGAAGCTTTGAGAGGACTGTCTACTTTTGACAACCGCTGCTTCAATTTACTTGCTCGCGTATGGTGGCAACACCATATAAGCAACGCGAAGTTAGAAACAGAATTATGGGAGCAGACAGTCCTGGTGTCCAGAGCATAATTATCCAGCACCAATTGCGTTGGCTCAACGCATGCGCTGCGCATGCCTGCCCATCGCCTATCACGTCGCGCATTATTTACACTTACTGGACGCGAATGGAAAAAGGAACCGCGGCAGACAGCCGATAAGAGCATGAAGATTCTAACTTCGTGTCTAGCATCAGTTGGATCCGTGCGTCTCCCAGGCTGGGGACCACGTGAAGCGGATTCCCAATGGTTGGAAGTCTTGGAGGATATGGCCCGCAATAGGAGTCAGTGGCGTCAATGCTGTTCTATCATCTCTTCATCCTGTACTTTTTAATGTTGAACAAAACATGAGAAAAAATACTCAAAACGGCATGTGCAACTGAAAAAATCCCTAACCTTTTACTCTTTCTCTCTCCTCGTTGAACATTATATTCTCCTTTACCTACCACCTTGGTTCAGATGGCACATTTGTCTGCTTAAAGACTTGCGAGTATATATATATATATATATATATATATATATATATATATATAATGTCCTAATGCTTTTCTTTCTCAAATAAATGTCCACCTGTGCGCTCTTCTATAAACCTACACGACCCGCTTAAGCCAATTGTAGTTAATTTTGATAACATTTTCGTGCTTGTGTCATTTCCGTAAAATATACTTTCTGACCTCCTGAGCTTATCTCGGATACTTTTGTAAACAACGTATTTCATATGCTCAATAATTTAAGATTTTTGTCACGTTTTCTTATGCATTACTCGATTTATTTTCTTTGTTAGCTTTCTCTCAAGTGATTGACTGTTGCTTGATGTCCCCGGTGTGGCTGCGCTTGATGTGTATGTTGACAAGGTGCTTACCTGTCTAATACCCACTACCTCGTCCATCTGGCTCCAGGAGACAGTTGGTCGTTGCTGGAGGGGACGGGGTGCACAATTCTTGTGGCCGTGTTAGGCTCGAAGAATGGTCCCGTGCCCTCACTGTGAAGCGGACTACGGTCCAGCCACTGCCTTGTGTGCACTTGATTCCCCAAATACAGCGTGATTGTGCTTGCCTGTGAAGGAATGTTGGCCGGCTCCGTTGATGAAACTCGGCTCCCATCCACATGCCTCCCGGTTTTATTCCTTCGGGTTTACACTGAATATGGGGTGTGTGGTTGGAGCTGTGGATGGTGCAGCGCAAGCCACCCATGGTCCCTCTGTAGGCGCAGGCGTCCTGTGGCTGACCACAGTGACAGGCAAATCAGAAACCGGATGCCGCCGACCATGTATATATATATATATATATATATATATATATGCAGCGTCTCCAGAAACGCCCGCTAGCATGGTATCCATCAACTGTTTGAAAATAGCTGCCGCCGTTTTTACGCCAATGGTCAAGCGGTTGTATTGGAATACCCCACGATGAGTGTTGATCGTCAACAACTTCCTCGAGTCTTCGTCACCATCCACTTGAAGGTAGGCATCGGATAGATCACGCTTAGCAAAACACTTACCATCATTCAGTTTTGCAAAGATATCTTCCGGTACGGATAATGGATACTTGTGGTCGTCCAGCGCGGCGTTAAGGCCAGTTGAGAAGTCAACGCAGACGCGTACCTTGCCATTTTCCTTCTTCACTGCGACAATAGGTGTGGCCGATGAGTAGATAACTTCTGTGATGACTCCGGCTCGTTCCAGTCGATCGAGTTCTTGATCAACGGTTGACATGGTTGCATATGGTACCAGTATTTTAGCCTTAAACACTGATTTAGCATCTGGTCGCAAGCTCAGCGTTGCCTTGAATTTCGTACAATACCCCAAGCTATCCTGAAAGACAGGTAAATTTTCGTTTCAGTGTATATGTCATTTCTTCGACGAACTTTGTTGATGGGTCTGGACTTGCTCAAACTCGGCTGCGGATCTGATTCAAGGGAACATCGATGAGTCGCAACTTTTCAATTCAGTCGAGACCAAGAAAATTCAAATTCACGCGATCTTAAAGGTAGCATGTTCACGAATTCCACACCTTTGAAAGCAGTCTTGCAAGTAAGTTCACCCACTAAGGTAAACACACCGCTGGATGCATTATGTGCGACTTTCTGAGGCTCGACCATCTTCGGCCTCTTTATGTGATTCCATGTGTTCCTGAAAATAATCATGGTGTCCGTGGCCATGTCGAATTGCAGTTTCGTTAAGATCTGATTGTTTAACACGCTGATAACTCGTCGTCTCGGTTTACACTTACTTTGCAATGCGGCAACTATGGACAGAGACTGCGCCATCCTTCCTAGAATTCCTCTTTTCATAAGACTTCACGTTCTTCGGCCGGATCTGTCTGCGGAATTCCTGCTTATGCCCCCGCTTATGGCACGTTTGACAAATATGACGTTTGAATGGACAAAAGCGCGCGAAATGCAATTCGCCTCTTGACCGGCATGTTGTGTGCGGTTTGTTCTTAGACCTCTTGAAGAGTTTGCTTGAGTTAACAGTCGGCCTTTTCCACGAAGTGAACGGTATCTAGCGGTGCGAGACCATTCCGTTCGACCAGAGCAGTTTCGTGTTTTAGAGTGAGCGGCCGTTTGCATTCGTTTACGAGGGCCTTCAGTGTCAGATCAGGATCCTGATCCGGCTTGGCTAAAAGCCGCGTGCGGATCTTAGCATCAATGTGGGACTGTAGAGCGCTGACGAAAATGGGACACTTAAACTGATCGTCCGTTAAAGAGCGTAGTTTGAAGCGCTCACACTCACGGTTAATCATGTCTGCTAGGGAGAGCCCCAAAATCATCCGATTCCCGTTTGACAATTTTCAACCATTGATAGAGAATACTAAACAAGGATACTGACTCACCAAAAATTTCCTTCAGCTGCGACACTGTTTCTTAAAGCGTCATATCCTTCGGTTGTTTTGGGCAGCATGTGGTCTATGAACCTTGAATGTTCACTTGTTCCGAGTTTGCGGAGTAGCAATCGCAAATTCCCAGAGTCATCCTGACGAATGAAGTCCATCCGGAACATGTCTTCCCAGCGCTTGAACCACGCTTCGAATGTGCATACGGAATCCGCGTCATAATTGCATTCAGTGATCGCATTCGTAAGATCCTAACTAATCGATTACTCGCCAAAATTGTGGATTTTCCAGACAATTCTTACTTTCTCCCGGCCAAGGGCTATAATTAGTCTGCCAGATATGATTTGGCGCAAGGTTTAAGCTGGACAGAAGGTAGCTTGGCAACGGGAAAAGTAGTCACCGACGTCCCGACTCGGCGCCGTCGATCCGTTTCGCTTTCCAGACCGGAGTCCACGTGACTCGCCTTGCGCCTGTCTCGAGACTTTATGGGGCATGGCTCGGAGCCGACACCAATGGCGCGTCTGCTGCCGTCTCCTAATCGGACTACCTGTTTAGCGTGGGTTTGGTACTGAGTTATCTTCGGGGTAATGCTTGATTATGACGCGGGACAGTGAAAGCCGTAAAGTATTTTTGTCGCCGATGCCGCCTTATCTTTGGGAGATAGCCAGCTGTTTGTGACGGTATGTTGTCGACAAGCTGTGGGTGCCTTAACCCTGTATGTTTGTTTAGGACATTAAAGTTTTCTGGTACATCCCTTTTCTCTCATTTTTATTATTATTATTATCGTAGGTCGTTGTGGTTGTATGACAGCGAATCATCAGTTCACACGGCTGATGTACTGCTGTCGTAGTTGATAATTATGTTCTTCCTCTCCCTGGACTTACGCCATTGCAGTTATTCATTTCACGCGCTTTGATTAGCCATCTGTCACAATATTGGCTACTGTGTTTCTAAGCTCTACTCTAGATCCCATCGGCTCATGCTCAGTGGAACCTTTGATTTATACATGGAATTACCGTGGTGTCCCTTTCGTTACGGACCACTCATATTGATTAATTACCCACTTGGATTCCTAAAGAAACATTGGCTTTACGATTGAATAGGCCCACTGACTGCTTCTGTATATTTGTTTCAGGAAACTGATCAATGGTCCTGAATCCTGAGCAACAAAAGCTCCTCAATCACCTGGAGCAAATCGAAGAAGTTGGCGAACTTATCCTAGCCAAACAGCAACAATCCGTGCAATGTGATAAAAATCGTCAGCTTACTCGTGAAGCCCTACGCGCGGTCACTGACACGGCTTCCGAGAGCAAACAATGGGTGATGCTGTCGAATCAATTTTTTCGTTTTCCTAACGAAAAGCTAAAGTGCGTTTTACGAGAAGACATAAAAGTATATGATGCTGAACTTGAGAAGATCCGCAGAGAGCTGAAGGAGGACATTAATTTGTTACGGGAGCTTGAAGGAGTCGAGGGTCTGAAAGGCTTCAACCTTCTCCCCTTAACGAAAGCAGATACAACTTCCCTTCAATAACTACACCTACTTGTCGTTTGCTTGCTTGTTCCTCTTATCTTCCTCCATTTTTGCGAAATAAAAGTTTTTCACGTTGTATTTTCAGCGTTGGCCATGGGAGATGACTTTATACTACCCTTAATTCCTCGGACGGCCCATCGTCGTTACGACCCGCTGACTGGTGATTGGGTAATAGTGTCCCCTCATCGAATTACACGTCCATGGTCCGGTCATTCGGAGAATTCACATCAAACTAAACATGAAAATCGAGATTTGCCACCCTCGGAATCCAATCCGTTGTGCCCGGGAGCAACAAGAGCAAGCGGCTGCGTTAATCCACCTTACACATCAGTGCATACGTTCCGGAACGATTTTCCGGCTTTGGTAAATCATGTTTGAATATAACATACATTGTTCTCCTCCCTTCGCAGCATATTCTTTTGTGCTTACTTGTGCGACTAACTCACTTTCCATATTGCTTTCCTACAGTAACTACTTCTTGGCGAATTCATGCAAGGGACATATGAAACGAGGTCCTATCTTTTGTGCTGGACACATGTTTGCTTTTTTGGTACATCAGTACTTGCAGCTCATGTTTAACTGCCGTATAACCGTAGATCAAGAGAGATCTCTTTATTATTTTGGTGCAGGGAGAGATTAGCTGTACAACTTAACGTTAAACCCAATGACTCCAAACAAACACTCAGACACAGACACTCACAACCTAAAACACCCTGGAGCGACAGAGGAATTTGCAGCTTGCGAACGCAATCATCGTGACTGGATTTTAACCTGGTTCGGTTCGCGTGCTTCAGCGATGCTTTATGCCGTGCTGCGTTATGTTTTGCACTTCAAGAGTCGTTTCTATCATTCTGGTCAGTGGTTGTAGGCCAGAAAAACGTAACCTCTTTGTCCTCCAGGTTGGCAGTCTGATTGAGGATTGTTGTTTATTATTTAAAAGGGATGTTCTGTAGCCAACTTTCCGCTGCCTTGCGGTTTCTGAACCAATCGCTTTGGCTATGATCTTAATTGTTCCCCTGTTTAGGCCGAGTCGACTGAGAATTATTCCATTCACACAGTGCAGTCACCGTCAAGCGCGTTAAATCGGGGGGTGGGAAGGTGAAGATATGCGTTGCCTGTTACATGGTTGTGAAAGAATGAGAAATACGTCAATCCATGCAACGTTACCAATATTATGCCCTATTTTATAATTCATCGAGATGTAGATCATGCTTTTATGTCGTGTATAAACCGGACGGAGAGAAACAAGAACACTTGCAACACAAACGCGAAACAGATTGACTCTTCGTCATGTCAGCACGTCTCTAACCTCTTTTTCCATCCGCACCATCGCGCAAACAACGCTTGTCCTGGAGCCAGTGTGCTGACATGCGCAGCACATGGCCTAACCATCGGAACCTGGTGCGTGAAGTAATGGTGCTGACCGGTTCATTTGTTCTTCCTGCGTCAAGACGCCGAACACGCTCGTCACTTACACAGTGTTCCCACCAGATGTATGTTAGGAGGCGAAAGCACCAGTGGTCGAACGCAACTGACCCTTCTTCGCCTGTCGATCTAGTGGGCCAATTTTCACAGCCTGCAGTCGGGTTGAGTGGATGGTTGCATTGTAAACTTTCTCCTTCCATCGCAATGAGCTTGGACCATACCGTGGCGCGATGGTTTACGTGCCTCAACGATCCATTGAGTTATGCTGGGTGGTGTTTTATGCATCTTCGTACCAGATTGGTCAATGGTTAAAGGCCAGACAGACAGAAAAGGAACTGAACCGCTCAGCACCATCATTTCACGCACCAGGCTCCGATGGCTGGGCCACGTTTTGTGCATGCCAGCCCATCGACTTCCACGACGTGCGTTGTTCGCTCACCGGGGATGTGGATGGAAGAAGAGGAGGGGTGGCCAAGCGATGACTTGGTCCAGAGGAATGAAGACCCTCACTTCTGAGCTGGCCTCGGTTGGAGCGTCACGGCTCCCTGGTTGGGGTCCAAAAGACGGTGAACACGTTTGGCTGGATACATTTGCCGACATGGCAAGGAGCCGACCTCAGTGTCGTTCCTGCTGTGAGTTTCTTTGTCCCTCCCCATCCCTTTTAGCCTCCCCCTCCACCTACGATCTCATTTCTTAGCGTAAAACAATAATTTTTTCTTTTTGCCTAGTAACCGGCTGGTAGCTTACCGGAACGATGCGTATCCGTTGCTGGTAGCTCAGCTGGCATGCAACTTTTGTATTTATTTTCCTTTTTCCTTTACGTATTGCGGCACAGTAGCTGAGGTGTTTCCCACCTCTAGCTGACGTGTATGATGATGATGATGATGATGATGATGATGATGATGATGATGTTGATGATGATGATGATGATGATGATGATGATGATGATGATGATGATGATGATGATGATGATGATGATGATGATGATGATGATGATGATGATGATGATGATGATGATGATGATGATGATGATGATGATGATGATGATGATGATGATGATGATGATGATGATGATGATGATGATGATGATGATGATGATGATGATGATGATGACGCTGATGATGATGATGATGATGATGATGATGATGATGATGATGATGATGATGATGATGATGATGATGATGATGATGATGATGATGATGATGATGATGATGATGATGATGATGATGATGATGATGATGATGATGATGATGATGATGATGATGATGATGATGATGATGATGATGATGATGATGATGATGATGATGATGATGATGATGATGATGATGATGATGATGATGATGATGATGATGATGATGATGATGATGATGATGATGATGATGATGATGATGATGATGATGATGATGATGATGATGGTGATGGTGATGGTGATGGTGATGATGATGATGATGATGATGATGATGGGAGTTGGAGTGATGGTGATTGCTTATTCCTTAAAACGGGCTCCTTGTAGCGCACTGCCAAACCCGCTGCTTTGCAGTCAGGTTTTTTGAACCAAAGGATTTTGTTGCGAACTCTAATCGTTCTCCTGTCCAGGGCTGGGCAATCTGACAGTATTCTACACACGCAATACGATGACTTTACCTTCAAATCATTTCTTGTTGCTCTGGGCGTCGTAAGGGATAATCAATGGCGTTCTTTCAGCTGCATCGGGTGGAGTGGATTAGGTTTGGGGGCTACTGCTGAAGCTTCTCCGTCTTCTTATTTCTCCTCGTACGATTTTCCACTCTTATCGTCCCGTTCCAACTTCATTTTTATCCCACCGTTTTAACCCCCCAATTCTTGGCCATGCCCACTTTGCTTTGATAGACGTTTAACTTCCAGTTCCAACTCACATGCAAACGCGGAGCGTCGCTTCTGCGTTATCGCCAAGCCCACTTCCAACCAAGCGGTCCACCCCAGTTCAACGGCTTCTATTTGAAGCCCTCGATCCTCCCTCAGATTGGTATGCCTCAACGTACACATGTTGTTACAGATCGGTCAACAGTCAGCAATTGCCCGGACTTTAGAGACCCTCTCGATCGATATCTGCTGCTTATCATAACCCCGCTTAAAAGACTCGTGCTCTATGCTCGCCTTCGATCCCCTCTGGTACTAGCAACACTTTGTTATTGCGCCTATCCTGGAGACGATTCAGCTTCGAGTACCGGCCAAGCAAGTTTTAGTATTGGCCTGAGTCCCCACGGTGAAGCTGCCGTATTTGATTGCATCCCAATCCGTAGCCGGACATGTGCGGTCCGGTTAACTGACTTATTCAAGCTTTTAAGTCGCACGGGGCTAATGCGTGTCTGTTTGTCATCGCTGCCTATGCCCCCACAAACTATAGTTCTGACATGTTGAAAGACGACTTTTATGGCCAGCTGAATGAATTCCTTTATCACAGAAGAAGCACATTCACTGCAGTGCTGTTTGGGGATCTGATCGTTTAGTTTGGTAAATTGTCCGCTAAAAAGCTGCATCTGGGCGGCCAACATGGTGCAGGCTCCCGTAATGATAACGGTGAACGGTTACTTCAGTTGTGTGAAGAATCTGCGCTTATTTCTTGAGAGCACTAATTTCCGACACAGCACCCGCCGGAGGGTGACATGGCGGCCATCAGTCTATGACCAGCGATAAACGTGAATTGCTCACATTGCTATCAGTTACTGCTGGAGAGGCTGCGTCCAGAACTGTCACTCGATTTGGAGCACATGTGTTGACAGTGACCATGCACTTGTGTGTGCTGATCCGCGGTTACGTTTTGGTGGACGCCCCCATTGACCCTGTGAGCGCATAGACACCGGCCAACTGGTGAAGCCACATTTTCTGTATGTATATCAATTTAGGCTGGCATTATGGTTGAGTAAGCGCTCATTGAATGCAGTTGAAGGTCACTGGTTGCATGTTTCTCAGACCATACTAACAGCGAGTAAGTCCTCAAGTGGTACATCAAATAGCCAGCCTGGACATTGGGTCTCTTCGCAGTCTATAACATCTATCGATGCTCACCGGCGCATTCCGACCGGAAACGGACACAATGAGATTCGCAAAGAGCTCCGGACAAAACTCCGTGCTAACCTGAAGTGTGACCGCGAATTCTGGGGGTTTTACCGTGCGCCATAGATGAAAGTGGCCCTTATCGTTGGGAACCATCGGAACTTATTCCATCTGGTACAAGAAACATGTTAGTGAAATTATTTATGACGAGAGTGAACAGCCTGTCCTCAACTTGTCAAAGGGAATTTTTAGATTCCTCACTCGCCAGTGATCGCCTTCCTCCCTGGAATGTGCTTTTGGATCCACAGTATCGCACAGAACTCGAACATGAGATCAGACTGCTTTAATTTAATAAGGCGTCGGGACCAGACGATCTTCATTCGGCCCTCTTCAAACTCGGAGCCCTGCCTTTGTTGCTGATTTACACGAATTACTAGTGAAACTGTAGGAGCAGAAACCGTCCCAAACGACACGAACCGCTCCATTATAATTCCAGTTTTCAAAGGAGGCTCATCTTCTGAATGCGTCTGGAGAAATATCTCGACTTCCATACTACAAACGCTACGTGGATGATATTTTGGCAATTTGTTCATCGAAGCATCACATAGAGCAGTTGGTAACGCAACTAAATTCTGCGTATTATAACTTGCGGTAGAGAACTTGAGGTAGAGAAGCAAAATTGCCTTCCGTACTTAGAAATCCTTTTCAGCCGCAGAGAAAACGGGCAGATTAAGAGGTCTGTCTACAGGAAACCAACATGGTCCGGGCAGTATCTGCATTCACTAACTTCACACCAATGCGATACAAGCGGACGCTCGTGAGAACCCTGATTAGCCGTGCCAGACGAATCTGCTCTGCTGATTGCCTGGCTGACGAACTGCAGTTGATTACCAACACGCTCA